GGATTTGAAACCACACCACCAGGGGAGAATGTAACCAGAACACAGCGCCTTACACTGCTCAGCCATCCTGACATGCTTGCTTTGCCTGAGCTGTCTCCTAGGACCCACACCACAGCACAGTGACTTTGGCACAAAGAGATTGATGCAGCGCTTTGTCAGTGTTACTTTATCACTCAGACATGGCCCCAGAGAGTTAAAGATTTACGCCTGAACACATAGCCAAAGGTTGGGGATTGTCAGAATAGGGATTTGAACCATGGAAGCTGTTGTTCCACATCCTGCCCAGCTCCAGCAGTCCGCCTCGTTGGCGCAGTATGCAGCGCGTCAGTCTCATAATGTCAAGGTCGTGAGTTCGAGCCTCACACGGAGCAGGGTGGTATGTTTTGGCACATGGGATCGCTTGCATGACTGGGCGGCTTTTTTATCCACTTCCATGCGGTTCATGCTTACCGGGAGCAAAAAATGCTATAGCTTCTCTGGAGGGCAGGAGGCGTGAAGTTCCAAGAACATTTCCTGAGTCTGAAGCAATGATGGCAAGATGCTCCCATTTCTGTCAAGTAATTGCTTGACGTTCAGCGTGAATCTGTCAAATGTCATGACTTGACGTTGTACAAGAATTTGACGAAAAGTCCTGCGAATCATATTGCCTTAAAATCAACAGCATTCCAGGACATTCCACTACATGGCATTCCAAGACAGTTCTTTTGATCCCCTTTCGGTGCACTTGCATTAAAGCCCTTGTCCTGAGCTGTCTCCTAGGACCCCCACCGCAGCACAGCGTAATGGAAGCTGGTGTGTCACAGCTTGCCAAACTGCTGCAGTCAGCCTCGTTGGCGCAGTAGGCAGTGTGTCAGTCTCATAATCTGAAGGTTGTGAGTTCGAGCCTCACACAGTGCAGGGTGGTAACTTGGTACACGGGAGCGCTTAGATGACTGGGCAGTGTTTATTATTCCCTTCAATGCGGTTTATGCTACCCGGGAGCAAAAGAGGCTACAGCTTCTCTGGAGGGCAGGCAGCGTGAAGTTCCAAGAACATTTCCTGAGTCTGAAGCAATGATGGCAAGATGCTCCCATTCCTGTCAAGTAATTTCTTGACGTTCAGCGTGAATCTGTCAAATGTCATGACTTGATGTTGTACAAGGATTTGACGAAAAGTTCTGCAAATCATATTGCCTTAAAATCAACAGCATTCCAGGACATTCCACTACATGGCATTCCAAGACAGTTCTTTTGATCACCTTTCAGAGCACTTGCATTAAAGCCCTCATCCATTGTTTTGTTCACATGCTTTTCCGAGTTTCTGTGGACAATGCCTTACTCGCAAACACCTTAAAATTTGCAGTTTGAAGTGCCTATTAGGGTTGCCAGGGACATTACTAGGCTGCATGAACTTTGGCGCAAAGAGGTTGATCCGGCGCTTTGTCAGTGTTACTGTATCACTTGGACATGGCGCCAGAGATTTAAAGACTTGAGCCTGAACGTTTAGCCAAAGGTTTTGTTTGTCAGAAGTGGGATTTGAAACCACACCTCCAGGGGAGACTGCGACTTGAACACAGCAACTTACACAGCTCAACCATCCTGACATGCATGCATGGCCTAAGCTGTCTCCTAGGACCCCCCCCGCAGCACAGCGTAATGGAAGCTGGTGTGTCACAGCTTGACAAACTACTGCAGTCCCCCTCGTTGGCGCAGTAGGCAGCGTGTCAGTCTCATAATCTGAAGGTTGTGAGTTCGAGCCTCACACAGGGCAGGGTGGTAACTTTTGGTACATGGGAGCGCTTAGATGACTGGGCAGCATTTATTATTCCCTTCAATACGGTTCATGCTACCCGGGAACAAAAGATGCTACAGCTTCTCTGGAGGGCAGGCAGCGTGAAGTTCCAAGAACATTTCCTGAGTCTGAAGCAATGATGGCAAGATGCTCCCATTCCTGACACGTAATCACTTAACGTTCTGTGTGGATCTTTCAAATGTCATTATTTGACGTTGTACAAGGATTTGACGAAAAGTCCTGCAAATCCTCTTGCCTTAAAAATCAACGGCATCCCAGGACATTCCAATACATGGCATTCCAAGACAGTTATTTTGATCTCCTTTCAGTGCACTTGCATTAAAGCCCTCACCTTTGTTTTGTTCACATGCTTTTACGAGTTGCTGTGGACAATGCTTTGATCGCAAACACCTTAAAAAGTCTAAAGTGCCCAGGGACACTGCTACGCTTCATGAACTTTGGCGCAAAAAGATTGATGCAGCACTTTGTCAGTGTAACTGTATCACTCGGACATGCCAGGTCATGCCAGAGAGTTAAAGACGTGTGCCTAAACGCATAGCCAAAAGTTGGGTTTGTCAGAAGTGGGACTCACACCCTTGCCTCCAGGGGAGACTGCGACCGGAACACAGCACCTTAGACTTCTCTGCCATACTGACATGCTTGTATGGCCTGAGCTGTCTCCTAGGACCCACATCGCAGCACAGTGACATGGAAGCTGGTGTGTCACAGCCTGCCCAGCTCCTGCAATCTGCCTCGTTGGCGCAGTAGGCAGCACGGCAGTCTTATAATCTGAAGGTCACATGCTTTTCCGAGTTGCTTTGGACAATGCCTTGATCGCAAATGCCTTAAAACTCGCAGTCTAAAGTGCCCATTAGGGTTGCCAGGGACACTGCTACTCTGCATGAACTTTGGCGCAAAGAGGTTGATGCAGCGCTTTGTCAGTGTCACTGTATCATTCGGACATGGCGCCTAGGGCTGTAATAATACACGATATGAAATCGAAATTGCGAATCTACGATCCTGTGTCGCGTTGTGATAAAGGAGATTCGCGACACACCCCGTGACTACCTTTCCAATAACGTCACGCGTGCCTGCAAAAGTTGAGCTAGTTGAAGAAGAACGTGAGGAAACAATTTTTTTCCCCTCGACATTATGAGCACTGCTCCATTTATGCCCTTGCAATATGCGTTTAGCCGGGAGAGCTCGCACAGAGCTCTTAGTAAGGGACCGTCTGAATGTGTCAGGAATATCAAAAACAAAATTAACGTAACCCCGCTTGACAATAGACAACGGCAGAAACATTGCCAATGCTGTCAAAGCGGCCGGATTTTCACAGCATATACGATGCTTTGCTCACACTGTTAATGTGGCTGCACAGAGAGGGATGGGCGTTCACCAGATGTCCCGACTTCACAGAGTAAGGAAAGTTGTCACGTTTTTCACTGCAATGTTGACATGATGGTGTTTCTGAAGAATTTTCAACTTTTTGGTTTTCTTGAGAGAAATAAGTTGTTTATTTGTTTAATGTTTACTTGACTTGTGGTTTGAAGCACAGGCATAAAGCCTCAGTGTGAAACAGTAGCCTAAAGGTAAGTGAATTATAACAGCGCAAACTTTTCTGTAACCGTGCTGTGCACTTTCTGTTTGACCCTTTGGGAGTGCTGACTGACAGGTGAGTGATGCGTGAGGTCAGGGAAACACGACGAAGCTTTCAGTTAAGATGAACACAGTTTCTATAGTTATACTTTATTTAGAGATAAAGGTATATGGCTCTGCATATAATCACTCTATCTTGCTGGAGTTTATAGCCGTTTTGCTTTACTTCAGGACGCATTAATGCCGCTCTGAAGGTCTAATCGCTGTTTTAAGTTATCCAGAGCTGTATAAATGTACAAATCTTGAATATCACGATATTATTAAATATTACAATTGTAACAACACAGACAGCAACACCTTAGCACAATCGATAACCAGCTGATTCAGTCGTTTCATAAGAGGACCGCGCTTCTTTTTTCCTTTTCAACATAAAGGCAGAGAGGTGCGCCTTGTTTTCGGCCCCTTGTTCAACTGCAAGGCATACTTAATTTGCGGGACGATAACGTATAACCCGTGCCTACAGACACATTGCCAAAGAAGCAAAATAGAAGTAGAATATTGCTGTTTGATACAGACGTGTTGATGCTAAACCAGCACTGATGTTGACCTGGATCTGTAATAAACGCAACAAATAGGCTTTACTTTTTATTTTACAACTTATAAAGCATGTATGCACATTGATGCAATATCATATTTAAACAACAAAACTGTTTACAAAAAGTCAACATATGCGCGCGTTGTTGTTGTCTTTTCATCACGCAGCGCACACTTGAACCGCGAGGGAGAGAGAGGAAACCATATAGCAAGACATATTCTTTAAAATAATGATTTCTATTAAAAATGTAAAAGGTTTTGTGATTACAATAATAACAGCGGGGCATTAAATAAATGCATATTTTCTGTGAAGCGGGCAATTTGAGGAAGTCAGCTATTTTTATTTGACGGAAGAAAAAAACATATGATTGGAAAAAAACAGCCTATGCCGGTTATTAAAAAGAATCTGTCAGTATTTTCGTTTTGTAATATAAATTAATTATTTAATTGAAAATAATTTAGGGCAGTTCTATTTATTTTATTCATTTTATTTAGATTATTCTGCTCTTCTGTGCTAAACACTGCAGGTGCGTGAAGATGCTCTGTTGTTCTGTTCTGTTATTAATATGCTAGCATTTAAAAATAAATCAGTATTTTAAAATGCAATATTTAATGTGTCAGACACAAAAAAGACAAGTCAATTTGTTTAATATAAAATTAATAGTAATCTGACCAGTTAACCCTTAATAAGCGATTAATGAGCGGCGGTTGTCAGTTAGCAAAATTAACGAAATGAGCATCCCTAGTGGCCATTTATTTACTTTTTCTATGTAAGAGAACTTGATTGAAAAAGAATTTTCAACATGCTTGAACCATCTACACAATGGAGTTTAGTTCTGTTTGGTTTTTCAACAGTATTTTGTTACAAAGAAAACAAAAGTGATATATCTTTGGCTATTTTTTATTTTATATATTACTATTTATATTGTTAATAATTTGCATAGTTAATATTGTTTTTTGATGTTCAGTTTATAAAGATTTTTCAAATGTTATTTAATAAAAAATAGTTTTAAAAATCTTTTTTCCCACCCCCCACGGAAAAAAAAAATTGTGATACGAACCGAATCGTGGGTCAAAAATCGTGATACGAACCGAATCGTGGGTTTGGTGTATCGTTACAGCCCTATTGATTAGAGTAATTAAATGGTTTAAAGTTATTTGAAAGGTTGTGTCACCGACTCGGTCCCAGTCATTCCCCTCGCTGACCAGCAGAGGTCACCATCTCCGGACTTCTAACCATTACGTCATCCAGTTCACTCAGATCCCAGCACACCTGTTCTCCATCTCACTAATGACCCACGTACCACATATAAGCAGCTCACACACACTTCATTGCGAAGTCTTGTTTAGCCCCGGCCAGCATTTCTGAGCGTTCTATCCTGCCTGATCTCCCGTTGACCACTTCAGCCCGTTTCTCGACTCTGCTCTGTCTTCTGCCTGCCCTTGACCAAAGCCTGCTTACACGGACTCTGATTCTCGCTGCCTGCCCCTGACTAAAGCCTGTAACACAGACTCTGAATCACGCTGCCTGCCCTTGACTCAAGCCTGGTAATCACTCTGCCTCTGTTATCTACTAATCATCGTTGAGTTGTATGTTGTATGTTCGCACAGCCGTGCGAGGTGTTGATGTTTAAGTGTGACTTAATAAATACTGCAAAATGGATCCCTCCGTGTCAGTCTCCCCGTTACAGAAGACTTCGCCCAACACGGATCCCGCAGCCATCCAGGTTTTGTCTCACGAAGTCACAACACAAGCTCAGGTATTGTCAACACACCAACAACAACTAACACATCTAACGCAGTTAACAGACGAACTGGTGAAATCCCTACAAAACCTGCAAGCTGCTGCCACTGCGCAACCCACCGCCAACTACTCTCCAAGTCCACTTGTTGTTGCACAACCCCCGATGACTTCCGGAGTTCGATTGGCTTTTCCTGACAAGTTCTCAGGTAACCCAGCAAAATGTAAAGGCTTCCTACTGCAATGTAAACTGTTTATCGCCCAACAGCCTCATCTGTTTAAGGACGAGAATGGGAAAATTGCTTTTGTGTGCTCCCTGCTCACTGGGAAGGCGCTAGACTGGGCTACTGCAGTTTGGCCAGACAGTACCCCGATATTTCCCTCGTTTAATGACTTTTTCAAACGTTTCTGCACTGTGTTCGATCATCCAGAGGGTGGTCGTAACGCTGGCGAGGAGCTATTGTGCATCCAACAGAGAGATCGCTCCGCGGCTGAGTTCGCCCTGCAGTTCCGCACTCTGGCAGCGCAAACTGGCTGGGCTGATGATCCGCTTGCCACGCTCTACAGAAAGGCTCTAAGACTCAATTGCTTCCAGTCCTGTATCCCCTGAAACCTCCGCTGAACCCATGCAATTGGGTAGAACCCGCCTGAACCCAGAAGAGCGAGAACGACGGAGAAGAAATCACCTGTGCATTTACTGCGGACTTCCAGGTCATACGAAGATTTTATGTCCCAACAAGCCTCTCCCTAAAACCCTCTCGGTGAGTGCAACCACTATGTTCACTACCACTAATAATGTTGTGAATCTGCCTGTCACTTTGAGAAACGATGGAGATGAGATTGAGACTATGGCCATGATAGATTCAGGAGCCGCTGGTAACTTTATTGATTACACGTTTGCCACCACTCACTCCATTCCTTTAACCTCCTGTGATTCCTCCATAGCCATCACTGCTGTAGACGGGCGCCCTTTGGGAGAAGGACGTATAAAATTCCAGACCCTGCCAATCTTACTTCAAACAGGCTCTCTCCATGAAGAGGAAATTTCCCTTCTTGCCATCAACTCCCCTAAACACTCTGTAATTCTTGGGTTACCATGGCTACAACAGCATGACCCTCAAGTCTCTTGGAGAACTGGTGAGATCACAAAATGGAGCAATCAATGCTTTACCCAATGTCTGCACTCTGTTTCCCCTGTCCAGATCAACACAATTAACAAGACCGAAGACTCTGAACTCCGTCATGTTCCTGATGCTTATCACGATTTAATTGAGGCATTTAATAAGCAGAAGGCTACCAAGCTCCCTCCTCATCGTGAAAATGACTGTGCCATTGAGCTGCTACCCGGCACCACGCCCCCTCGTGGTCGCATCTTCCCTCTCTCACAACCTGAAACTGAAGCTATGAAGAGTTACATCTCTGAGGAGCTAGAGAAGGGCTTTATTCGACCATCTACTTCACCCGCTTCAGCAGGGTTTTTCTTCGTCAAGAAGAAGGATGGCAGCTTGCGCCCATGCATTGATTACCGAGGCTTAAATGAGATCACAGTCAAATACCGCTACCCATTGCCATTGGTTCCTGCCGCCCTTGAGCAACTCCGATCCGCCCAGTATTTCACTAAGTTGGACCTCCGTAGTGCATATAATCTCATCCGCATACGACAGGGAGACGAGTGGAAAACCGGGTTCTCTACAATTGACGGCCACTACGAATACCTCGTTATGCCCTTCGGCCTAGCAAACAGTCCTTCCGTGTTCCAGGCATTTGTAAATGAGATATTTAGAGACATGCTCAACAAGTGGGTCATAGTGTATATTGACGACATCCTGGTCTACTCCAATTCGCAATCTGAGCATATCCAGCATGTCCGGGCAGTGCTCAAACGCCTCATTCAAAACCAGCTGTATGCAAAGAGCTCCAAGTGCGAATTCCACCAGACCTGCATCTCATTCCTTGGTTACATTATCAGTCCAGAAGGCGTGGCCATGGACCAGCAAATGGTCGACTCCGTGACACAATGGCCACAACCCGAAACCATCAGACAACTACAACGATTTCTGGGCTTTGCTAACTTCTACAGGCGCTTCATAAGAAACTTCAGTTCAGTCGCTGCCCCATTGACCGCCATGGTAAAAGCCAACAATGCTCGCCTTAAATGGAACCCAGACGCTGTCCGAGCATTTACCCAGCTAAAGACTCGCTTCTCCAGTGCACCCATTCTGCGTCATCCTGATCCCGAGCAACCCTTTGTAGTCAAAATTGACGCGTCCAACACTGGAATTGGAGCCATCCTGTCCCAACGATCCCTAGTGACTAAGAAGCTCCATCCCTGTGCCTTCTATTCTCGCAAGCTCAACTCCGCTGAACGGAACTACGATGTGGGAAACCGAGAACTCCTCGCCATGAAAGCCGCGCTAGAAGAATGGAGACACTGGCTTGAGGGCGCAAAACACCCTTTCATCGTCATCACCGATCACAAAAACCTAGAATATATTCGGTCCTGTAAACGTCTGAATCCTAGACAGGCAAGATGGGCGCTGTTTTTCACCCGATTTGACTTCCAAGTCACCTATATCCCTGGCTCAAAAAACATCAAAGCAGATGCTCTGTCCCGCCTCTCAGACTATGAGACCTCTGAATTCCATGATGAACCCATAATTAAAGACCCTCTAATTGTCGCTCCTATCCAGTGGGATATCGAACAGGAGATCCTTCAAGCCGCCGAGAATAATCCATCTCAGCAGCCCTGTCCAGAGAATAAAATCTTTGTTCCCCCGTCACTTCGAGAAAGACTCATCTCCGAGGTACATGACCACCCCAGTTCCGGTCACCCAGGCAGCACAGCCACCGTACAAATGATTCAATCCCGCTACTGGTGGTCATCCATACACAAGGATGTAATCAACTTCATCAATAAATGCTCACCCTGTCAGATGTCCAAACACTCCCGTCACCGTCCAGCTGGATTACTCCAACCCCTGGAGGTGCCACATCGCCCCTGGTCACACATCGCTATAGATTTCATCACCGATTTACCCATATCTCAGGGCAAAACCACCATCCTCACAGTAGTGGACCGATTTTCAAAATCCTGCCGCCTTATCCCCATCTCCAAACTGCCTACAGCCATGGAAACGGCTGAGTTACTCTGCGAGTGTGTGTTCCGGTACTATGGTCTCCCCGAAGACATCGTGTCGGATAGAGGTCCCCAGTTTACATCCCGACTCTGGTCAGCATTCTTTAAAAACCTCCAAATCAACGTTAGCCTAACATCCGGCTATCATCCCCAATCCAACGGGCAGACAGAGCGCTTGAACCAAGAAATCGGCAGATTCCTCCGCACGTACTGTCATTCGAACCAGAACGAATGGGCCAAATTTTTGATGTGGGCAGAATATGCTCAGAACTCCCTCAGAAAGGCATCTACTGGATTAACCCCATTTCAATGCGTGCTGGGCTTCCAACCTCCTCTCTTTCCCTGGTCCGGCGAGACCTCTGAACTCCCTGCGGTGGATACCTGGTTTAAAAACTGCGAAGAGGTCTGGAACGCAGCTCACACTCACCTCTCTCACGCCGTACGGCGTTTCAAGGAACAAGCCGATCGACACCGACGTCCTGGTCCCATGTATTCCCCAGGACAATGGGTATGGCTTTCCACCCGCGACTTACGCCTCAAGCTGCCCTGCAAGAAGCTCAGTCCCAGGTACGTGGGTCCTTTCCAGATTGAAAGACAAATATCTCCTGTTTCGTTCAGACTGACACTCCCTAATCATTCTCGTATTTCCCCCACTTTCCATGTCTCTCTGCTCAAGCCTGCTGCTGGTCCAGCCGAGACGGATAGGGAGGTGGCAGCCGGTGAACAGGGTCCCCCGCCTCTTATGATCGATGGTGAAGAGGCCTACCAGATCCACGAGATTCTGAGATCCAGACGCCGGGGTGGACAACTCCAATATCTCGTTGATTGGGAGGGGTACGGCCCGGAGGAGAGATCTTGGATTAACCGCAAGGACATCCTCGACACCACACTACTGGAAGAGTTCCACTCACAACATCCGGAGATGCCGGCCCCTCGCCCCCGTGGAAGACCCCGGCGTCGAGAATTGCCTCACTTCAGGAGCCGTTCGTTGGGGGGGGGCTCTGTCACCGACTCGGTCCCAGTCATTCCCCTCGCTGACCAGCAGAGGTCACCATCTCCGGACTTCTAACCATTACATCATCCAGTTCACTCAGATCCCAGCACACCTGTTCTCCATCTCACTAATGACCCACGTACCACATATAAGCAGCTCACACACACACTTCATTGCGAAGTCTTGTTTAGCTCCGGCCAGCATTTCTGAGCGTTCTATCCTGCCTGATCTCCCGTTGACCACTTCAGCCCGTTTCTCGACTCTGCTCTGTCTTCTGCCTGCCCTTGACCAAAGCCTGCTTACACGGACTCTGATTCTCGCTGCCTGCCCCTGACTAAAGCCTGTAACACGGACTCTGAATCACGCTGCCTGCCCTTGACTCAAGCCTGGTAATCACTCTGCCTCTGTTATCTACTAATCATCGTTGAGTTGTATGTTGTATGTTCGCACAGCCGTGCGAGGTGTTGATGTTTAAGTGTGACTTAATAAATACTGCAAAATGGATCCCTCCGTGTCAGTCTCCCCGTTACAGGTTGAAACAAAATCTGTTATCTTGTTATTTTTAAATCAACAGGAGCGGTTTAAATCAAGATTGGCAAATTTGCATCAACATCACCAAGACTGCTTTAACCGCTTTAACGAAGCAGAAAGTAAATTAAGACAAAAGACTTGCCTACAAAAATCAAAGCATTGTGAGTATTTAACCTAATTAATATATCATTATTTAAACCTACCACAAACTGCCATTTGTAGGTTTAATGGTGCATTTTCTTTTGAATTTTATATATTCATTCTAATCTTCATACTCTCCTGAACAGCGTTCATCACCTGCAACAGCAACACTCACATCATCTCCATCCTGTCCTGAGCAACCTACATCATGTGCAACTGCAACACTCATGACATCTTCATACTCTCCTGAGCAGCGTTCATCACCTGCAACAGCAACACTCACATCATCTCCATCCTGTCCTGAGCAACCTACATCATGTGCAACTGCAACACTCATGACATCTTCATACTCTCCTGAGCAGCGTTTATCACCTGCAACAGCAACACTCAAAACATTCTGTTCAGCAAAGAGTCTATAATGAATTCTGTTTTGATTCTCCTTTTACTCCTACTTCATAAAAACATTTTACTACATGAAAAAAAAAAAAAAAAAAGTTAACGGTACAATTTTTCCATTGTGTTTTATTTGTTCTGGTCAGTGTATACATAATGCAACTTTGAAAATAGGTAATTACTGATTTACATTTAACCCATTTAATTAACTTTTTATAGTTTTTTTGTGATTGGCTAAAACATTCATTTAGATTTAGAAATTTTGAGTGATTAAGGCAGACATTTTAAATATGCAAGCTTTTATTGAGCAATGTTGTTCTATAGATTTTAGATATTTCTTTAGGTAGTTTTGCCCAAATTAGTTTTGAATTAGGAAACTCAAGGTATCAGCACCAAATTATCTACTAATGAACGGGTCTGGATTGGATCCGGATAAGCTACTTCATCAATGGGTTCTGGTCTAGATTGGATCCGGGCCGGATGAGCTAGTCTATCAGCGGGTCTGGATCGGATCTGCGCCGGATGAGCTACTCTATCAGCGGGTCTGGATTGGATCCGAGCTGGATGAGCTACTCTATTAACGGGTCCGGATCGGATCCGGATGAAGAGCTTTATTAGCGGATACGGGTAACGTCTGAAATGGGTCCGGAACGGATACAGAATTCTTATCCGTTCCGGATCCGTTGCGCTGTGCAAGTAGACTCCAGTACAGACCCATTTGCGGACCCGTTTCTGTTGCGGATCATGTAATACCTCCGGCGCGGATCTGTTCCGGAGTCATTTTGATATCTGGAAAACCTTTAGGCAGCAGTAAGCCTCACAAATACTTAAAATTGATTGACTTAAACTGCTTGAACTTTATTAAAACTGTTAGCACTAATATATTGTGTTAACTACACTTTGTTCATTTTGTGCTTTTGTTCCTTTGTTTATTGGTGTTAAAAATAAGCCTGCTGTGAAAAAATAGTTTCTCTGAGATTATGTGTTATGTAATCTTGTTAAAATTTATTTCTTAAAATAAAAGTATAGAAAAAAAGTATCGTTCGAAACCGGTATCGAATTCAGGGTATCGGTATCGAACACTTTAGAACAATACACAGCCCTAGTCAAGTGATGTGATTTTGCAGGTCAGAGTTCACCAAGCTTGAACTTTGCAACGCAGTGAACTGCAAAACTTGATGCACAAACTTGGTTTCCGGTCTGACCCATTCACGTGCGTATGAATGGAAGTCTATGGGGAGAAAAGTCCAGTGTGACCGCAGCTTAAGTGCAAGTGAATAGTTTCTCTCCAGTGTGGCTCACCATGTGTAAATTAAAGGACGATGATCGGCTGAAACTCTTCCCACACTGAGTTAATGTGAATGGTTTCTCTCCAGTGTGGATACTCATGTGTCTATTAAAGTTTGATGATTGGCTGAAACTCTTCCCACAGTGAGTGCATGTGAATGGTTTCTCTCCAGTGTGGATCTTCATGTGTTGATTAAAATTTGATGATTGGCTGAAACTCTTCCCACACTGAGAGCATGTAAATGGTTTCTCTCCAGTGTGGATCCTCATGTGTTTATTAAAGTTTGATGATTGGCTGAAACTCTTCCCACAGTGAGTGCATGTGAATGGTTTCTCTCCAGTGTGGATCCTCATATGTTTATTAAAGTTTGATGATTGGCTGAAACTCTTCCCACAGTAAGTGCATGTGAATGGTTTCTCTCCAGTGTGGATCCTCATGTGATGATTAAAGTGTGCTAATTGGCTGAAACTATTCCCACACTGAGTGCAAGTAAATGGTTTCTCTCCAGTGTGGATACTTATGTGTTGATTAAGGTGTGATGAGCAGCTGAAACTCTTTCCACACTGAGTGCATGTGAATGGTTTCTCTCCAGTGTGGATCCTCATGTGAATCTTAAGAATGTCTTTTCTTCCAAAACTCTTTCCACACTGAGTGCAGGTGAAACAATTATTGTCTCTCCTTTTAAAATCAGTCTGTAGATGAGTTTTTTCCTCAATTTTGACATGATGTTCCTCCTCTTTCCTCCTCTCCTTCTCTTCAATTAGGTCTGAAATAAAAAAAAAACATTAGTTTTCATTAAGTCTTAAAAACTCTCATCAAAAGCTGAAAAGTGAAAAGACACTGGAAACGTTCGAGGTGACAGAAGTTACCCTTCGTTCCCCAAGGAGGGGAACGGAAGTGCTAGAAGTGGATTTGATCTTGGGAAAATTCACGAAATGGGAGGATTCGGTTCAGAAGCCGCTTGTCTGAAAGTGTATTGAACGGGCCAATGAAAGCAATGAATTGGCAGCGTAAGCTTGCGCAGGTGTGCTTCATTGCCAATTATCCTAGCATATAAGCACACCTGGAGCGAGCAAACGCCATCCTTTTAAGCTGAAGAGACTTTCTAACAGCTAAGGGACAGTCATTGTGACGACGGAGTATAGCACTTCCGTTCCCCTCCTCGGGGAACGAAGTTTTACTTCTGTAACCTCGAATGTTCCCCTGCGGTTGGGGAACTTCAGTGCTATACAGTGGATTTGATCTTTGGGAAAATCCACGTATGGGAGAACTATGAAAAACGGCATAATGACTGCACCTTACCAACACCCCCGATGAGGGGATAGTCAAGCAAGCGTGACGCACCCACATCATGGGAGGCGCGGCCTTCCAACGTGTCCCTGGCCCTAATTTATCTCCCTTCAACAGAAGTTTTACGGATTTAGATATATTTTTTGGGAAGTCGTGTGCGTCTAGATGATTCTAGGAAAATACGACAGTACGTTGGGAAGCGTGCAATCCCGATAGGGAGGATGCTGCGGAGGCCATCCGCTACCCAAGGGGGGAGATAAAATGGCAGAATTACATATGGACTAGCCCTAAGAAGGGGGAGTGTGCATAGACAAAGAGGTTAGCGGAGAGGGAAGACACGGGTCCACCCAGAGGGGGGACTTAACCGTGGCGGAATAAGCATAGTCACCTAGTGGGGATCACGCATAGCAGACACCTATACCCAAGATGCGGGCTGACCAGCGGGCAGACCAACAACGTAGTGGGCCAGCAAGTGACTCCTCTGCTGAGTCAGTGCTGGGGTCCACGGAGGAATCTGCAGGGCTCACCTGACGGGGAACTTTACTGACAGATAAAAGGGCACACGTATCTACGTGTTAGGGACAATGGCGCAGCAAGCGTGTTTCAACACCCTACTGAGTTGTTTCCTCAATCACCAAAGGGTTGCCTAATACCCTTAAGGAAACTGGCTCCACTCGCAGATTGTAAAACCTTGCAAATGTGTTGGGTGTCGCCCAGCCCGCAGCTCTACAAATGTCTGTTAGAGAGGCGCCGCATGCACAAGCCCAAGAGGATGCAACGTGCCGAGTGGAGTGTACACGCACTTCCGGGGGACACGGCTCACCTCTGCTCGAATAAGCGAGTGAAATGGCATCCACAATCCAGTGGGATAATCTTTGTTTCGATACGGCACTTCCCTGCTGCCGACCGCCATAACAGACAAAGAGCTGCTCAGATGATCTAAAGTGCTGAGTATGGTCCACATAAATGTGCAGCACGTGAACTGGACACAGTAAGGAAAGGGCTGGGTCTGCCTCCTCCGGGGGCAGCGCTTGCAGGTTCACTACCTGATCTCTAAAGGGGGTGGTAGGAACCTTGGCCACATAACCCGGGCGGGGTCTCAGGATAACGTGAGAGTAATCCGGCCCGAATTCCAGGCACGAGTCACTGACCGAAAATGCCTCCAGGTCCTCGACCCTCTTGATGGAGGCCAACGCGACCAGCAGAGCTGTCTCCAGTGACAGAAATCTTAGAGATACTGAATCGAGTGTCTCAAAGGGATCTGTAAACTTGTGAGAACGAGGGCGAGATCCCAAGAGGGCATGAGAGGGGGCGGGATGGATTAATTCGCCTAGCACCTCTGAGGAACCGGATGATGAGGTTGTGCTTTCCCACGGTGCCGCCAGCTACCGTGTTATGATAAGCGGAGATGGCCGCCACGTAAACCTTGAGAGTGGAGGGCGACAGCCTGCTGTCCAGCTTCTCTTGGGAGAAAAGAGAGCACAACACTGATCTGGCAATTTCTGAGGTTTTCTCTGCGAGAGACACACCATGTAGTGAATAGACTTCGATTCAGGGCGTAGGGGCACCTCGTGGAGGGGGCACTAGCCTAAGTGATGGTATTAACCACGGCACTCGGTAGGTTACCCAAGTCTTCCTCACGTCTAGGGACTACACGTGAAGGTTCCAAAGATCGGGGCGAGGGTGCCAGATGGTGCCCTGTCGGCTAACGGCTGCCTGCTTTCGAGGTGTACGGCGCGCCCGGGGGCGGGGCAGCACTTGTTGGCGGGCGCCCTCGACGAGGAACAGCGGAGGTGGATGGCTCGGCGGGCGGAGCGGGCTTACGACCGCGCCGACAGATGACATTACCCATCGCATCCGACTGCTCTTTCACCGCCTTGAATTCCTGGGTGAATTCACCGACGGTGTCGCCGAACAGGCCAGCCTGGGATATGGGCGAGTCAAGAAAGCGAACTTTGTCAACATTGCGCATATCGGCCAGGTCTAGCCAGAGGTGGCGTTCCTGAACCACAAGTGTAAACATCGTCCATCCCCAGTGCACACGCGGCGGACTTAGTAGTCCGAAGAGCATAGTCGGTTGTGGTGCGCAGCTCATGTAGTAAGCCTGGGTTAGACCCGCCCTCGTGCAGCTCGGCCAGCGCCTGCGCTTGGTAGCGCTGGTAGGTGGCCATCGCGTGCAAGGCGGAAGCAGCCTGGCCCGCAGCCTTATAAGCTCTGGCTCCGAGGGAGGCAGACAACCTACAGGCTTTGGACAGGAGACGGGGCGGACCCCGCCACGTAGGGGCGCCACGCGGACAAAGATTGACCGCGATAGCGCGTTCCACTGACGGGATCGCCTCATACCCCCTGGCAGCTCCGCCGTCAAGGGCAGTGAGGGCGGAAGGACACGCAGCATGGGCTGAGAAAGTTGCCCTCCAAGACTGCGTGAGCCTACTGTGCACTTCCAGGAAGAAGGGGACCAGAGGCTTCGAAGGCTTCGCCTTCTGGTCCTCCACGTAGCACCCATCTAGTCGGTCCGGCCGTGGAGATGGGGGATGAACCAGCTCCAACCCCACGGCCGAAGCAGCCCGGGAAAGCACGGCTAACATGTCCGCTTCAGGATCCATTTTGACGGCGCTCACCTGCCCGGAGGCGATCTTAGCTGTGCAACGGTCATGGCATAGCAGTGACGACATGAACTGCCCGCGAGCACCACATTAACATGCTGGACCCCCAAACATGTAATGCAGTGATCGTGTCCATCATCCGGAGCCAGGAAACCCCGGCAACCAGAAACGCACAGTCGGAGCGCCATCCTGAAAAGGACGTGCTGCATGACTGTGTTGCTCTTTTAGGAAAGTTTGCAACAATACGTACCGCTCTGGAGGACCGGACCCAGCTCGACCGTCTGCCGCCGCGAAAACCCACTCTGGACCGGGAGACACTCGTTCGCTCTGAAGTCGCTGAACCAGCAAGAGGAACCCTCATCGACTCGATCAGAAAGTCTCTGAAGCGAAAAGGATGGCGTTTGCTTGCTCCAGGTGTGCTTATATCCTGGGATAATTGGCAATGAAGCACACCTGCGCAAGCTTACGCTGCCAATTCATTGCTTTCATTGGCCCGTTCAATACTCTTTCAGACAAGCGGCTTTTGAACCGAATCCTCCCATATGTGGATTTTCCCAAGATCAAATCCACTTATAGCACTAAAGTTCCCCAACCGAAGGAGAACATAGGCTACACACACTGTAATTTTGATGCATATTAATGTAAAATAAATCAAATATTTTGTTCGGTCTATTAACGTGTACACATTAAAGCATA